CCCCCCCCACTTTTTTTTGATGGGACTGGGGTTTGAACTCAGGGCTTCACAATTGCAAAACAGGTGCTCTACTGTTTGAGCCACACCTCCAGTCCATTTTGCTTTGATTATTTTGGAGATGGGGGTCTCACAAACCATCTGTCCAGGCTGGCCTCAAACTGCAATCCTTCTGATCTCAGCCTGTGAAGTGGCTAGAATTAAAGGCATAAGCCACCAGTGCTGGGCCTCCACTCTTCTTTGCTTGGCAAAATCCTACTCACTCTTCCAAGAATTGCTTGGTTCCCTCTCCTCCAGGAAGACTGCTTTGATCTCCACCCTCTTAGAAACTCACAGAAGACCCTATGTTTATCTGCCATTGTTCTATAATTTTATATCATTGTCTTGTTTCTTCCACTGGATCCTGACAACAGACAAATTCTATGGTTTTATTATATGTCTATTGACCTGACCAATGCTCAGGTCAGAGACCTGGCCCTCATACCATTCACCAATTTAGCTTCTCAATGTCTTAATCCCAGCAAATGGTAGATAATACAATAAATGTTTTAATGAATAGTAAATATAGCCATCTATAAACCTCATTCTTCCAATTAAAAAAAAAACACTCCCTTTTATAGGATACATATCTTTCCCCTTATGACCAGATGTACAGCCAAAATGCCTCTGAGAGGACACCATTTGGGTCATATTCTTGATAACATTTCAAGAAGTCAGTGGCTGGTTATGTTGCTTATGACATCAGAAAGGAAGCCACCATATACAGAGCAACTATATGCTGCCACTGTATACCAAATTTATGCTACATATATACTGTTCAGTTTTGACAACCCAGAGTAACTCATTACAGCTCTATTTTGTTAAAAAACCTAAGGCTCAGAAATCTGCCCAAGGTCACACAGTTAACAAGTGATGAAGCCAAACTAATACAATATGCAAGACCAGAACTAGATTTTCTTCTAAATGAACTGAAAAATGAGGCTGGCTGAAACTAAAATTTCCCACAGGGCTGAAAAAATGATGAAGGCAGCAAAAAACTTGTCCATCTCAGACTATGGGTATGCACTTTTAACAATATAAACTGAAAACCAGCCTTGTTCCTGTTCAAAGTTTAGATAATTGCAAATACTGCTGCTGGCCTGTCAAATAACAGACTCATCAGACATTGAGTTTGAAGTACTGTTTTAAAACAACTTCTCAAATTTATTTAACTCATATGGGTAACATGGTAGAGTACTGTATTTAAAAAAAAAAAAAAAAAGCCACCACTAAATACTTGCTAAGCCTCACAGACAATTCAGTTAGGCAGCACATTGGGCACAGAGATCACAGGACATGCATTATACCTTAAAAGATGGAATTCCAAGTAGGACCAGATTTTTCCAATTCAAAGTCAGTATTAGAGATTCCAGCATAATAATTTTTTTAAAAGTTTGGATTGTTGCTTTTTAATTTTTTACTCCTATTCAGAAAAATAACTAAGGCAATAATAGAAATAACAATTTAAAATAAGATATTCTCTCCAAAAGATTTTTTTGTTAAGCTTTAATCCCAGGATTTCCATCACCCCTCCCCTTTTTTTTTGGTGGGATTGGGGTTTGAACTCAGGGCTTTACACTTGCAAAGCAGGTGCTCTGCTTAAGCCATACCTCCAGTCCATCTTTTCTCTAGTTATTTTGGAGATGAGGTCTCTTGAACTATTTGCTCAGGCTGACCTCAAAACACAATTCTCCTGATCTCAGCCTCCCAATTAGCTAGGATTACAGGTGTGAGCCACTGTCACTGGGCTCCATATTTCTTTATTATTTAAAAAAAAAAGGCATTTTGGAGTACATCAACCTTTACTCTCAGCTTGCTACCAAGTCTCTGCCTTCTGAAGATCTTGACATAATGCCAAGACTCATCTCCCAAACTGCTGGTCTTAATCTAGTCCATGTCTGGTTGCTAAAGAAGCTCGTGTTAATCCCAAGGTCAGTCACAATCCTAACCTTCACCAGTAGATGGTTGACTACATTGCTTATGACATAGGCCAACCGAGGCAGAAGGAGCAGGCCAGACACCGTTTTTCTGCCATGAGTGAGTCACATCAGCAGTCAAGTCCATATTCCCCTCCCCAGAGCTCACCATGCAAGACCCCTGCAATGCCACCTCAATCCACTGGTCTCATTGCCTGCCTAGCCATAATAGAAGGTACTTGAAAGACATAATTGGAATAGATGATTTCCATAAGTACAAAAGCAAAAGTTTTATTTACTGTTTAGATCTACTAACCACTCAGCCGCATCTTTATAATGGGGAGTTGAAAATAGAGAGGAATGACATTTGTGTATGAATGGGTCTTTCATTAACTTCCTGGGAAACTGTTTCTGAAGGTCCCATTTCCTCGAGAGGGAGAAATTCCATGTAATTGTTGTACACTGTACGTAGGAAGAAGCTCTCTTTTTAGTCTTCATGTCATTGTACAGATTTCACTCTTCATATTGAGAATGGAAAGGTAAAGGAGCAAAAAATCACAAACAGCACAAAATATAGCACACCCTGTGTCAGCAACATGACAACTCCTGTAATATCATCCATACTGATTCTAAGTAATTGCTGATGGAGTTGGATACATCACCAAATTTCTATTTGCATTCTGCCTGAGGCTGTTCCCTGACACTAATTGCAAGCGAAGGGCTAGACAACTTTTGTGAAGGGGGCAGAACACAACCAATATCGTGGTCTGCAGCCAGATGTCAGTGTACCATAAAATGGAGGAAAAAATTACAGGAAGATTTCTGTTTCAGCTTTTAGTCCAACCAAGATTGAAAAGACTTACAGAAAACAGTTTTATGAGGTTAGAGGACAAAAGTATGGTGGTGGGTAAAGGAGGATTGGAGAGTGAGTGGCAAACACATCCTGCAGAGTCAGGGAAGAAAAAAACATACACACATGTTCTCAGAATACGAGCGCCTTCCTGAGGCATATGAGGTTCAGGATATAGTAGGTGAGGGGGGCACAGCAGTTAGTTCTAAAACCTGTTCCAATTTAATTTTGGAGTGAATTCTTCTCCTAGACAGGTCAGAGATTGTGCTTTAAAAATGTCTTTACAAGGTAACAGCTTTTTAAATACTTTTGCTTCCTGCCTCCAGGTGATTCCCTTTTGGTTAAAAACCAGAAACAGTATAAGCCTCACAGGATGGACGAACAGTCTTGATAACAGGTGAGGCGAGGAGCTAGATGAACTTACACAGTAAGTGAGAGTCTATACTTCTTGGTCTTCTCCTTTGACCACTCCAAGTCTCTGACTTGCCAGAGATGGCAGTTTATTTCTTCTGGAAGAAGCCAGTAATAGACACTTGTCTGTTGGCTTTGCTCAGAGCAGTAGTCACTTTCTTGGTGCCCTTCCGTTCCTCTTTGGGCTCTTTTTTCACAGTCATGGCAGCAGGTCTGGGAGCAAAAGATGTCTTCATCCTAAGCTCTTCTTCACTATCTGAGCAAGACTCACTTGTGTAGACTTTTTCAGTAACTAGAACAAGGGAAAAATGGAGACATGGGTAAGTTGAATCATTTATCAAGAGAATGAGATATCTTCTTCACCTGGTACTGAGTCTTTCTCCTTCTGGGAGATCACATTTAGCCCTCTCAGTGGGGCTGAAAATTAACATTCACTCCTCCACCCTCAGTGCTATGTCCCATGCTACTGAATGGGCCTTTATCATTTAACTGCTCAAACACTTTGGGTCCTGGTCTATGCCAGCTAAGTTCTCAAGCTCTACATCTGAACTGTGTATCTCAAACACCTACTTCTCACACCCATACTATGCTCTGACTGGCTTCTTGAGTCTCATCTCCATGACTTATAGTGCTTGCCTATTTCTGCTGCTGGTTGTCCTAGTCTTAAGTCTGGTCTACCAGAGGCCCCCATTCTGCCTAGCCAGGCTCACCAGCATGGACCCTTCTGGCTAGCTCCATCCTGATGTCACCTACTCTGCACACATCTTAAATAAAGAAAATTGAGTATTAGTTTTTCAACTATTCAGTTCTTAGTTCTGAATGACTAATTAACCCAAGATTCAGTAGTCTACATCATGAAGATAAATGTCCCAAGCAAATCCTATTACATGACACACTTGATTTTTTAAGGAAGGACAATAATAGAAACAAAGTTACCAGTTTTTTACTCCTTATCAGCCAAAGGCATAATGTACCTTTTCTTCTGCCATTAAAATTCCATGAACCCTTACCAAGAGAAATGTGGAAAAGAACTATACCAGTGAACAGTATCACAAGCAAGCCCCACAAGGCACAAGCAGAAACAGTGTTTCCAGCCATGTGGTCACAGAGACTATGACGGTCTCCTCAATCCTATCGCACTACAGACACCAAGCACAAGTACCTTCATTCTTTCTCAGTCTTCCTGGTTGCAGCAAGTGATGGAGAAACAGTGAAGGAAAACATCTTTTCTTAGCTGAAAAGAGTAACCTAATATACATAATGAACGTTCAAAGTGAAAGGTATTTTTTTCCCATTAGAGAACAATGATAGTTTCAAGGTATTATTTATTGGCAATTCTTTAGGATTAAAATACCTTAGTCAAACTGTCCTAGAGGCACAGGCATTGGATTAACTATATCTGTGTTTTAATTCCTAATCTGCCACATATATATTCTCAAACTCATGCATCATAATCACCTAGAGGGCTTGTTAAAACATAGATTGCTGGATTCTATTTCCAAAATTTCAGACTCGGCAGGTCCAGGGTAAGACCTGAGAACTTGGTTTTTTTAACATGCTCCCAGATGATGCTGATGCTGCTGGTCTGAGGAATGACATTTTGTGAATCAATGTTCTTTCCTCCCACTCCCTACCCCAATTAAAACGGGGCAACACTACTGCTTCAGGATGTATGGATGTACAGAATAGTCTTCAACTGGTGCTTTTCAATGCTATTTTCATCTTAATGGATCGTGCTGGAGGTCAACTGGCTACTGCCACTGTAGCATTCCTTTTCCTTTATCCATCTAATCCCCCGAGGGTTACATAATTAACAACCCCTTCCCTAAGAGTTCCTAGAATTTGCCTTTTCTTTCAAGAGCCTAGAACTCATTTTGATGACTCCTGCCCACGTAGAGGCTAAAAACACTGATAAACTTTAATACATATTAAGTGTTTTGGAAGGCCTTATTACTCAAGCTGTGCTCCCCAGTTCACAGGCATTAGAATCTCCTGTGAACTTATCAGAAATTCAAAATCTCAGGTCCTACCCCTGCCTACTGAACCAGCACTTCAATTTTAGCTGGCACAAAGCCAGCAAAGTTTGAGAACTCTACCAATCTTTCTGAGAAGATACTTGGGAATTTCCATGAAATACCTATTAGCTCAGTAAGCAAGATTCCAGAACACTGCCCCATCTCATATGAATCTTCAAAAGCATCAGGTAACTCAATTAATGGGACAAAATTATGAACTGTTTATTCAATATTTTATAGGAAACTCTGAAGGACCATCTACAGAAAGGAAACGGCTTACTACAAGCTGGTGGTATAAGCTTTTGCTACTTCATAAGGCATATTCTATATTCAAATGGCAGTGTGTCTATAATTATCACACTTCAGCATTAATTAGCTCGTTATTTCATGACTTCTCAATGAAACCGTGGGCTGTTCACTGGCAATTGTGTGTAATACATTTCTTGGGGGAGTTAAAAAACAATCAGGGCAGGACAACAAAATGACTTAAGCACCACACTTGGTACACATTAAAAGCAAAAGGAGGGTTTCTACATTCAAAGCTGCAGCGGCTTTAAATTACACTACAAGATTTCAACCTAAAGATATAGTCTAACAATATGCCACATTTTTTTGGCTACCATTACAAAAAACCTGGTTTGTGTGGGTAACATCAGATTCCTTTTCCATTTACCTGCTTTGCTCTTAGACATCCAGAAGTTCATCCCAAACTTATCTCAGAGCCCAACTCCCAAATCCCTACTGCAAATTCACAGAAAAGGAAAGATTAGCCCACAGAACAAATGTGATCTAGCACAGGACAGGGTAAGCCCCCTATGCTGGTACATCTGGAACAGTCTAAGCAAAGACAGGAAAGCAATACTACTTTATTGGCAACCAGAGCCAAGATTCATTAGGTTGTACTTGGACTAAAAACCTTACAAGAAGTGCTGTGTAAGCACAATTTCATTATTGCATCCAAGGTTCTTAATAGTCCTGTCTAGAGACTGTAGTGCAAAAAAGTCTACATCTCACCCACACCTGGCTAAAACCTGAGTACTGTGTTTTCAGCCAAGCAATAAATAATTAGCCACAAATATCTAGTGAACTGTCACAAAGATATCTTTTACTTTCTTCTTTTAAGGTATAAGGAGGAAAAAAGAACTTGCACTGATGCTTTTGTCTTTTTCCAATTAAAAGGAAAAAAATTAAATTCAATAGTAAATATATACATTACTACCAATGGCCAAACTATTGTCTTGAAATGGACTATAATAGAATAAAAGCAAACAAACAAAAAAACTCCTCAAAGCTCAGAATTCACAGGCTCACAAGAAATTTGACAAGAAGCTAGGCACTGGTGGCTCATACCTGTAATCCTAGCTATTTGGGAGGCCTCTATTGCTTAATTTTTTTTTTTTTAGGCAATACTGGGGTTTAAACTCAGAGTTTGCAAGGCAGGTGATCTACTGCTTGAGCCACACCTCCAGCCTTGTGTTTGTTATTTTCGAGATTAGGGTTTTGCTTTATGTCCAGGTTGGCCCAGAACACAATCCACCTATGTGTGCTTCATAGTATAGCTGGGATGACAGATGTGTGCCACTGAACCCAGCCAATTTACTAGCTTTAAATAACCACACTGCCTAGAAAAAGTTGATTCATCAGAGACAATTTTTTAGAGATAGAAATTTGAACTAGAAAAGGAAATCAACAAAGTAGAAAAAAACCTTCTCTAGGAGATCCGAACGGTGGCAGGTACCACAAGAAAAGAGAAACAACAATTATGGGTGCTCAAACAAGGAGTTTATAAGCCCAAATCCACAACTATTTCCAGACACAAAGGCATAGTGTTGGGAACTCAGCATCTCATCAGGCCTCAAGTGCTAAATCCTAAAAGCCTCACAGAAGTCTGGTTTGATTGTGGGAAGGACAGAAGAACCTAAAACACGGATGAAGAATTAACCAATGACTCAAAGCCTGAATTCTAATTTCCCACTGGGCCTTCCTAACAAGCACATGCTTTTACCTAACATGGCTCACAAAGAGGAAACATAAAGGAAGCAATGTGGATGAGTCATAGCCCTCTAACAAGCGGGACTAAACACCAAAGAAGACTCTTGATTCACTCTTCAGTGGCGTGAAGCAGGAGCTTCTTTTCCTCTGTTCGAATTTATAAAGCAATCATTCTAAAAAAAAATCCAAGTATTTCTCAACATCCAGGAGAACACCTTAACTTCATATTGTAGTTTCCTCCATTTGGAAAGTTTTTTTAGATTAATTCCTCACTTGACTCTTCATAGCAATGCCACCAACAGGCAAAATAGATATCTTCCTTTCATTTCAAAGATCAAGAAACTCCCCACCAGAGATAACATGACTTTTAGCCAAGATCTCAAGGCTTATTTTTATGGTGTGTGGTTCAAGTAAGAGCCCAGGTTCTGTGACTTTATCTACAGCACTTTTTATACTATGCTACTCCATGTGTGGGTCAGAGACAAGCAGTATCAGCACCACTTGGGCCTGAGTCAGAGGCACATTTGTGTCCCAGATGGACTGCTCTACAAGGGATTATGATGCCTCTCTACGGTAATAACTCTTATTTCTGGATTTGGAGCCAGAAGTTTTTCTTACCTATGCAGCCTTCGTCATCCACAAAGGTTTTAGATTTCAGTACACGCTTTCGTTTTCTTTTGTTTTCTCCACTTATGCTCTAAAAGATCAGAGAGTAAGCTGACAATGAAGCAACAGAGAAAAATAAAAGCTTCTAAATCTATAACAACCACCTCCCAAAATTCCATTATAAAAAAATGAAAAAGAAACTTCACACTTTAAGAGGACAACCCTACTACACAGACAATTTATGCTCTCTGTCTAAAGAGGTTTGATATTTCACTGGAAGAAAGAGACAAGGAAAGCAGATCACCAAAACACACTGTGTAAGGGCTTTAATGGAGGCCAGGGGCAAAGCTCACAGAGGTGGCCCCTAAATCAGACCAAGGGGCCCTCAGCTTATGCCTTTGCTGTTGATATTTACTGTGGCAGCCTTGGCATTTCAACAATATACCCAGCTAGTTTAGTGAAACAGATATTACTAATGTCACTTTCTTTTTATCTCCACTGGTCTCTCTCATTCCATCTTCTCTTCAGCTAATGAGAAGATAAATGCAAGATTTAAACGAGTTTTAACACATGAATTAAAGAAAACAAATAGCTACAAATTAAAAGGAAAACTTATCAGTATCCATTTTCTCAACATTTCATTATCTACACTGATTTAGAGAAGACACAGCTGAAGAAAACTCAAAACTATATTTCTTTCTTTTGCTTTTCTCATCTAGTCCTTTTTCTGTCTTTCACACTTTGCTCTGATGTAGCAGGGCCTTTTTTCTGCACTAGTCTGACTGCAGTTGTATAGCAGAACACCCCTGATGGTGAAGGTTATAAAAAACCAAAAAAACAGGTTCCGAAATTCACTTCTATAACCTTCCTGAGACTATGCCCTACAGCAACATCTTCCTTCAGGTAAGGAGAGAAGGAATACCCATTTTGGTCAACCTGTAGGGGAGCAGAATGAGACAAGAGCCATCTGCTGGCACTTGTGAAGTCTACAGCAAGAGTCATGATTCAGCATTGTAACTGAAGATCCTTGTGCAATAAGGACATATAGAATAAAAACATCCTAGTGAAGTTTTACCTTGACAGGAGGTGGAGGCTCAGGCTCAGTCTTTGGCACTGGATCAGGAGGTGGAGATACAGGAGGAGGTGGGGATGGTGACTCAGCTTCATAAGGCCCAGGGGAGTCTGGAAAGACTGAAAAAAATAGAACAAGCTTAGCTAAGAGAACTATAAGCTCTAGCTGATACAATGTCTCTCCACTGGTATCTCTAAACTTCTATGTCCAAAAAGAGTATTTTGCAAGCAATAATTCATGACAACAAGGATGCTGTAGTTATACAGTTACCTTTAAAATACACATGAATTTTATATAACTAAAATCAGAGAATCAAAAATTATTAGAATTGAAAGTATCTCATGTCATCTTTTGTTCTACAAGAAGTCAGGGCACGAAGTTGGTTTATAAAATCTACTGATCATGTGTCATGTATGTCACTTTATTCTTACAACCCTAAGAAACAGATATTTTTCTCACATTATAGATAAGTAAATAGAGGTTCAGAAAGATTTCTTCACTTGACAAAGCTTGTAACCGAGACAGAAGGTTTTAAATTCAAGTCAGCCTGATTCCACAGCCTTTCGTAATCCAACTATCTTATCATTCATTCACAACCAGTCATTTTTCTCAAGATTCTCCTTGGATTATACCAAATGCTCTGTGCCAGAGTCATGTGATTTTTGACTTGAGGATTACTTGCAATTGCCTGAGAATTTTGTTAGACAGAAAACGTCCCACTGACACTAAGAGCATAAACTTTGGGGAATGATCATCTTTGAAATGACGAGCACAAATAAAGCTTTTACAACTAAGACCTGCCTCCTATTTTGTATGGGAACTATTTCTAGTGATTACCCCACTTATGAGGATTATTTTACACTGAGAGTAGTAGGGAAAAAAAAAAAAACCCCGAACAACCCTGTCAGTAAGGAAATACTAGCATGCAGGTGTTATCACCTGAGAAGACAGCACAAGAGGATCTCCTGGTTCTCAGCAGCTTCAGAAACAGTGGTCCCAGTCAGTAGAAGGCCCATGAGAGGGGAGTGAAAAATCCTTAGCTGACCCATTGCTTAATCACCACAAAGAAACTGCTAGTCAGGGGACTGGGTAGCTGCTTAGCCTCACCTGCTCCCTGAATCTCCTGGCAGCATTCAAATTCTTAGCACAAGTCTTGGATCTGAAATTCTCCCAACTGATTAGGTCAGTGTTAAAAATTAGGACAGTGGAGGGTTCAAGGCCAATGACCTAGAGGTGAAGCAGAACAAGAGCCAGAACGAAGCAATAAATTATGTACTTCAAATATGAAATGGGGCCCCAACTTTATAAGCTCTGAGAAACATAAAAGGAAAGAGTCCAGCTATTAACCCAGCTCCGGGAGGCTAGCACACAATAAGAGTTTAAGCAAGAGAAGTGTCACAGCCCAGAACCAACTGCCCATTGTTTTGTAGGAATAGCCGTTCAAAAAGCCGGGCCACAATGACAAATGTGTTACAGTGATTGGAGAAAAGTTCAGGCAGTGAGGAAGCCAAAGAAAAGGAGTTTTGATTACTCACAGTAATAAATTTAGGTGTTCTTATTCTATTTCCAGTTCTGCAACCACTTGACTTACCCAAAGAAAACAATCCCAGTGGTACCCACTCAGACCCTTCTCACCGCACTACTCACAACTGTTTGTTTACCCACATTCCCCCTTCAGACTCTGCTCCAAGGAGGAGGGATACCACAATTCCCCTGGTACTCAACACAGACCAACAGAAACTTTTTTCTTTTTTTTGTATTTTTGAGTAAAGGAAAATAGTCACTCTGAACACAATTTGGGATGAGGGGCATCCAGTTCAAGGAAGACTTAGCATATACCTGCCTCTGTATGTCCCCCAAGAGAAACACTGTAATACAGAAATAAAATGTTATAATGCTGGCACCATGGAAGATAACAGAGGAGGAGTCAAGAGCCCTTAGTGAAGAAATTTCATCAAATCCTTGCAAGATGGAAAGCAGATGAGAGAAAACTGACAAGAGAAGGATCAATTGAATGATTCAGATGGTAGAGACTGCTAGCTATTAAAAAACTTCTGTTTTATCTGACTTTACAAATTGTATCTCTGTTTAGACTTTAAACAACCAAAATTTTCTAGACTTCATAAACATTAATCGTACATTCCCATAATCCCACAAATCACTTTTTTTTTTGTTTTATATGATTTAGTTTCAAAGAAATCTTAAAAACCTGCCCATAATCACATGCTGGAATGGAGTGGAATAGAATGCTGTCTGCTTTAGTCTTTATCATCATGCTAAGCATTCAGACCCAACACATTTTCAGTAACATAAGGAATGTTTTTAAATATATTTGAAGCAAATATGCAGCTCTTCAGATGAAAGATACTCAAGTAGTGAAACACCATCTCAGGAAAGTAACTTTTGTTGGGGCAGAATAAGAACTGTGGTAAAACTAATTTCAGCAATCCAGCAATGTAACCACTTGTTTGTCAAGAGTTCTCTGGCAGAGATGGGTAATTACAATTCCTGGAAAGCATTCACAGCTTCCTAGGACTCAATATATTTTTTAAATACCTATCCTTACCTAAAAAAAAGAGGACTATTTGCTTACCATTCTCCACAAGCAACTTAGAAGGATTGAAAATGTTAGTAAATACTTTAAATGTATCCATACAAACTCTTTCTCAACAGCAATGTGGTTATTTCTAATATTAGTTCTTTCTGGGTCTGGTCATTTTTGCTTTACAAAGAAAGTATGATGCTGCCAGGGTGAAGGAAACAGGAACAAGCCTATGGGTAGACTCCCAAATATGAAGGTGAAGGGAATTCTCTGAGAGGAGGCTCTTACAGGTATATTTACCACAGCTAAACACTCAACAGGAAGGTGGTAGCTAGGGTGGGGGATGAGAAAAGCCAGTATGTGTTAAGCACTGCCTTGGCACTTCTGACACATCGTCTTACTTGACCTTCACAAAACACCTGCACAGTTTGTGATAACACCCCATTTTAAAAAGGAGGAAACAAGGACTTAAGAGAAGTTAAGTCATTTGCCTAAAGTCATAAAGTAAGTGGTTTAGCAAGGATTTAAACCCAAGTTGTCTGACTCCAAAGTTTTTCCATTTTGTGCACTCCTGCTGCTCCTAAGAGTTGTAAGACAGCAGATTGAGCTAATATTACAATCAGTGTAACATAAATAAAACAGTATCAAGTTAGAGACTGCATGAAGGTTTAAAATAAAATTGTATTGGCTTTGAGACAAAGAAATTTAAGAATAAAATGACAGAGGTTTGTAAATTTAGTTAGATGACAAAAATGATCTTTGCCAAAGAAAAACAATTTGAGAGGCTCTGCTATCATCTGTTGTTACAGGCTGCTCACCTCTACCCATTTCTTCCTTTCCAAACCCCACTCATATTGCTAATCACCCATGGGTATTATTATTTTTGTGGGCTGTAGATCAGAACTACAGAGAATATTTCAGAAGTATGTAATGATGCTCAGTCAACCACAGTAATTCTTCGATTTAGAGCTAACTCCTGTACCAATATTAGAGTATCCAGTTTATCTTTTTAATGAGGGCTTCAAAGCCTTTTCAGAATCTTCTCCCCAATTTCTCTCCCAGATTGCAAACAGGGAAAACTGCTCCAATTAGCACGTATTCCTAAGTTTACTCCCTAATTATTTTCTCATGTGCCTGCATGGAGTCGCCTGTATTTCAATTCTTAATTGGTCAGAATGTTCCCTGATGGTCTATTTCATTCACATACTTACTTGGGAATCTTCCTTTCAGTAACTTTGGTCAAAGCATTTTGATAAATGATATGATGTGAAAATACACCAACTGCCCCTCTGGGGTCTTACAATGCCCTACCCCTACTTGTTCCAAAGAGCCACTAAAACTCACACCTCTAGAAGGGCACAGCTTCTCTCACAGGACATCAGAGGCCATAATCCTTGACACTTACCAATGAACAAACAGTAGGATCTAAATTCATAGAAGAGTCAAAATGGCACTTCTATCATAGAGAGATTTAGCGTCCTGGTACTGTTTCTTAGGTCTGTTCATTTCTTTTGCATTACAGTCATCTGCATATGTAATCTGTTTTTCCATCCACTTGTACAGTTAAGGAAATACCCTTTTGTGGGGAGCCTCTGACCGTTTTTAGTTTTTCCAACAGCAGTTTCTAGTAAAACTTGCATTTTTAGTTTTGTCCTTTGACAGAAAAGCAGGTTCCTTTTTTGCATTCATTATTTTTCTGTAATTCTTTTTGGTATCAGTTTGTTTGCATTTATCTGTACAACTTAGTGTGATGACGAATTCCTTTGGACTCGATTCCCCCTATTCCTATGTGGTTTTTACACATTATGCCATGAATTCTTGAAGAACTGTTTACAGCAGCTCAAGCTTTTCACCCCTGGTTCTCAGGCATGCTTTCTGGAGTAGAGTCATGCAGAATACCAATTTAGCCTAAGTGTCTTTCTCTTTACTCTCTTTCTACATACTTTACATGATTTTGGCTTTAAAGACTATCTGATATTCTTTTTAAAAAGCACATTAATTTTCCTGGCCAGACTCTTGTCTTTATTCTATTTACTTATCTTATTAACATTGCCCATAACCTAAAACTGGAAGGTCCCACAGTGTCACTCTCTTTCAACAATGACACTGTAGGTTCTTCCAGTTTCATCATGATTTTACTTATGTGATGTGGTACACCACTAATACCCTCAATGCCTAGAATATCACAATTCTTAAAAGGTTCATATGAAAGCCAAAGAAATAACCCCCATTTTTTCTTTAAAATGTCTTACAGACAGTGTGTATTGTAGGAGTACTTATCCTCTTTCCCTTTGTGTGGGTTATTTTACAAGTAGATTTCAAATAGTAACAGATGCTATAGTTTCTCAATGTCAGATGACTACTCTCATTGTGACCCACAGTAAGTAACCTTTCAGCTCTTGAACATCACAGTAAGAATTGATCGCCCAGTCAAAGATCAATAGTAAGGCCCACCTTCATCGTCACTGCTATCAGACTGAGGAAGCTTGATTCGTCTCCTCTTTTTCTTCATGCTTTCAGTTTCCTTTATTTCATTATCAGATAGCTCTACTCGCTTCCCCCTGTTGTTATCCAGGAATAAATTAAGCATGTTATATCATAAAAAAATGTAAGTACTCATATGCTTCTATGCATCTTGCTTTATAACTCATGGTATTAATTCCAGAGAATAGAAAAGTCAAAGTAGACAAATAAGGATCCTGTTTAAGTACATGCTGCTAAACTACCCACAACTAGGTCACCTCATAAGGTGATAAGAATAAGCAGCTACTTCCTACAGTAAAGGCTCTTTGCCAAAAACTGAGAATGCAAAAAGGAAATACTGTTCTCAAGAAGTTCTGGCCGGCAGGGCATAGTGGTATATGCCTATAGTCCCAGCTTGGAAAACTGAGGTAAGAAGATCATGAGTTCAAGGCCAACCTGGACTACCTAGCAAGACCTGTCTTAAAAAACCAAACAAAGCTCCAGCCAATACCAGTAGCTATAAACAACATTTTTTTAAATGGACAAGTAAAATATTATGGGACATGACTGTTACTTTAAGACTTTAAAAGCTAAGGAGACATTCAATAGGTAGAAAGGGGAGACAAATATTTTAAAGAGAAAAAACAATAGGAACAAAAGCATAAACGTAAGACTGTAAGGAGAGTCTCATGATATAATAAAAAACCCAGACTCTATCTTAGCATTAGCTTCTCTGTCTCAATACTTCGTTCGCCATACTACTCATCTGACTAACATATAATTCATCAAAGGCTGATTTTGCATTACAGAGTCCTTGTCATTGAGTACCTATGCCTTACATAATTCTAAACATCAACTTTTCTAAGTAAAAGGAAATAATTTTAAAAAGAGCATAAATCAAAGTGGTAGAAAATAAAGAAAACTAGCAAAACCTGAAGCTGTTGTTATTATTATTATTATTATTATTTTGGTGGTGGTGGTACTGGGATTTGGATTCAGGGCCTCACACTTGCTAGGCAGGTGCTCTACCACTTAAGCCATTCCGCCAGGTAAAGTTTTTTTTAGGGAACAGATTAATAAAATTAATAAGTTTTTTATGAAACTAGTAAAGGAGAACAATATGTATATTACCAACCAGGAATGAAACAATAAAGGAATCTGCAGTGACAATTACAGATTCTTCAGATGCTCAAAGAACAAGGCTGCATTATGAATAACTTTATGCCAAAACTCAACAACTTTGATGAAATAAACAAATTCTTTTAAAAAGACAACTTATTCAAAACTTATGGGAGAAGCAGAAAATTTGAATAATACTATTTAAAGAAGTCCAATTCATAAGAGGACTTGGGGGCAGGCTCACTTGCTCAGTGACCCTGAGTTTAAACCCCAGTATAACCAAAAAAACAAGAGTCAAATTCACAATAAAAAAAATCCAGGCCCAGGTTCACTGATGAATTTTAGCATACATTTAAGAAATGTATCTACACAAACTCCTTTGGAAGAGAGGAAAAACTCCTCTCACATCTCAACTACTTTTATGAAGTTATCACAACTTTGATAGTAAAATTAGATCAAGATATTACCAGAAAAGAAAATAACTGACCTTATAGTCCTCAAAAACATAGAAGAAAAAATCCTTAGTGTAATATTAACAAATCTAATCCAGTAATATGTAAAAAAATAATGCATCCTGACCAAGTGGAGTTTATCCTGAGAATGTAATGCTGGCTTCACATTTTAATACCAATCAGGATCACATTAGCAGAAACACCATGGACATCTCAGTAAATGCAGAGAAAGCATCTGTTAGAACTCAACACCCAGTTCAAACCCCAGTCCCATCAAACAAGCAAACAACACCCATTCATGATAAAACCTCTTGGCAAACTTGAGACAGAACTTTCTCAATCTGTGAAGGGAATCTAAACACCTATACTTAACATCATATTCAGTAGTGAAATGCTGAATGCATTCCTGGCAACAACCAGTAAGTGTTGTACCCATAGTTGGGAACATTTTAATCCATCTACATCACATGGTCCCAGGAGGTGATGCCCACTGGACAGAGCCCTGACCTTCTGAAACATCTTAATTTTGTTGATGTTTTCTACTAAACTTGCCCCAACTTTGCCAAAAAAGCAAGTTCTTTGTGGCCTATCAGTGCTGACAGTGTCCTTTAGAATTTCTTTCAACAGACTAATTCTACCAACTATGAGGTAGTGTCTCAAATTCCTGGATCCATTTTTAACAGCTTGTGTGCTTTTTATTTTCTTTTCTAATTACATGTTACCACTTAAAAAATAAACTCATTGATACAAAAAGAAAACAAAGAACTTTTTCTCTTAAATTTGACAGGACAGTAAC